TGGATGGATGGATGGATGGATGGATGGATGGATGGATAAATGGATGGGTGGATGGATGGGTGGATGGGTGGACGGATGGATGGACGGACAGGTGGATGAATGGAACCCCTCAGTTGCCTTTGTGCTGCCTTTCCCTGCCCTCAGCTTCTGCCTGCCACACTTTTGGTTCCTCTGGGCCATTTCCTGAGGCAGCACTGCTGTCAGAGCCAACTTTCCTCGAGTGCTGCATCCCAGCTCAGTGTGCCACCACTGGGCTCTGCACGGCCACATCCCCATCCCCGCAGCAGGGACAGGCATGCAGCAGCTTTGTGGGGTGAGCAGCAGCCATATGGAGCTGCTGAGGGCACAGGGCTGCCACGGGGCAGCTCAGCTCCCAGCAGGATGGCAATGTGCAATGCAGGATCTGAGTTGTGCAGGTGGCTGGGAAAGCTCCCATCCTGTCAGCCATCGCAGCACACATCCATCGAGCGCGACGCAGTGAGTTCTGGCCCTCACAGCTCTGCTCTGGCAATGCGTTTTTGGGGAGGTGGGCGCTCCGTGTGCTGCCATCCCCCCCACGTGTGGTGCACGGAGGGTCGCGTGGAGCATCAGAGCTTTTGCAAAGCCGGATGTTTTCCTCCCAGAGGCGCCAGCGGTGAAGCCGGAAATTTTACAGCCAGGCAGCAGCAATAAAATTTGTGCTTTCAGAGCAGCATTTGCGGAAGCTGAATGATCTGTTGGGAAATTCTCCGGCGTGTCCTCGCCAGCCTGCACGACCAGAGCATGATCAGAGCATCCCCCCGCCTCCATCAGCACTGCGCTGCCGCCGGAGGTCGCACGGAGGAATTTCCTGCCTTTATCATGGGCGAAGCGCAGCCCGGAGCCCAGGGCACTGCGGAGCACAGGAAGGTGTCACTCGGCTCCCCCTGCACATCTCTGGCAGGATGAGGTCCAGCACCGTGCTGCCATGGGAACCCATCGCATCCACCTGCAGCTCTGCGCAGCGCAGCGACCCAACAGCAGGAGGAAGGGGAGGGGAACGGGGCAGCACCACTTCCCCAGCGCTGCCTGCGGCGCCCCGAGGAGGCTCCCACTTCTCCATGCTCTGCCAGCACCACGCGGTGCCCAGAACTGCAGTGACAGTGGGCATTCGAGGTCTGGGCGGCATCACCGCACGCAGCTTTGCTCTCTCAGAGGAATGGATTTGGGCACGGAGGGCTCAGAAACGACGGCTGCAGCCCAGGGTGCAGCGTCCCGAGTCCTGCCTGTGCCGTCATGGTGAATGTGCACAACAGAACCCTCCTGACCTTTGGCTATCTGTAAATAGATGGGCCGGATCAGGTGAGCGCAGGCAGCCTCGGTGCTGCTGCAGCAGGAGTGGGACTGACTGCTCTCCCTTTGTTCTGCTTACGGCATTCACCAAAAATGAGACTTCTGCTCCACTTGGAAGCGACGCTGCGACCTGACGGCACGCACGGCTCAGCCCACCCCCGGACCCCTTCGCCTGTGCAAGGCAGGAAATTGCTCAAACCCTACGGCCAAAAATGGAAATCTCATCCTGGATGGTGCCGTTCACCGCCCAGCAGCGGGGCTCTGGGCAGCAGGACGCCCCCATCCCCACAGATGAGGCAGCGCGGAGCTCCTCAAAGCCATTCCTGTGTGAGAGCCCCAGTGCACAGCGCTGCCATGGGAAAGCTGGGGGTTCTCGTGGTGTCTGGGCACTGCTGGGCACTGTGAGCAGGGGCCAATAAGAGCTCCTGTCAGTGGGGTGGGGAGCAGCCAAAAGGAGAAGAGAACAGAGGGAAGCGGCTGCAAGCCCCCACTCCAAGCTCCCCCCTGGGTGGGCTCTGGGCAATGAGAAGTGCTTTGAGATTTGGAGCAGCTGGCGAGCGGCCCCAAAACCACTGCGGGGTGGAGGGATGGACCCTGCTGACACCCCTGGGGGTGTTGGGCCCCCGGGGGTCCCCAACGCTGTCGGTTCATGGCTGAGCTGGGGAGAGGCGCCAGCTGGCCAACATCCCAACGTCCCACCTCAGCCAGGAGGATGGAGGAGGAGGAACAGAGCGGCTCCCGGAGGGGCGATGCTGGGGGAAGGGTCTGCCTGGAGCTGCTCTGCAATGAGACCCTCCAGCATCGCCCCAAGCCACGGCCAAGGAATGCATGCAGGGTGCGTGGGGCCCAAGAGCAGCAGCTCCCATGCAGGGAGCTCAGATTGCAACACCGCATGACATCAGCGGCACCTCGTGAGCCAGCTTCAGCCCAGCGTTGCATCAGCACAGCAGGCACGTGAGCACCTGGCCCTGCATCCCCAGGCTGAGCTGTGCGACACGGAGCAGGCAGACTCCCCAAGGCCAGCAGGATTCCCTCCCTGATCCCCTCCTGCCACAAAGCTCGGAGCAGAGGCAGCGTTGGCCATCAGTGCCCCCCGTTGGGCAGTGCATTTTTGGGGCACTGCTGCAGCCCCCCAGCAGCATCCATCTCAGCGCTTCACTGCCGGAGTCAGGAGCAGAATGGATCCATGCTGGGCTCACAGACGAAGCACAGGGCAGCGTTTGCTCCCCCGAATCACAGGTTCACAAGAATGAGCAGCTCAGGTGGATGCTGTGCCTTCCTCTCCATGATGGGATTTCCTGCGGTGCCACAGCACGGCACACTGCAGCTCCGTGGTTCACATCCTTCCTTCCTGCCCTGCTCCAGCCCCACGTGGGACTTCGTGCCCAGAGCAGAGCTGCAGACAAGCTGCTCCCACCCCCCAAAAGGCACCTCCAGAAATCCAAATCCCGTTCAAGAACAGCGTGAGGCAGAGTTAAACTCTTTATTTACTTTGAAACACGGGTTTAAGTTCTCAGTTACAAAGTCCAGTGGAGCAACAGCGAGCAGAGGGAATGCGAGTGGCCCTTTGTGACACAGCCCTTCGTGGCACACAGACTGGTAGGGGTTACAAGGCACTGCAAGAACACACTGTGGAGAACAGAAGCCCCCACAGATTTGAAGCTGTAGCTTCAGGAGTCCTGCGAGCACAGATGGGCAACACCAGAGAGCTCCACTCAGCCCGCAGCGACGTCGGCACAACAGGAGGGCGGGGGGCAGAGCAGCACTAGGACACACAGCACCTCAGGACAGACAGAACCCCAAAGGTTCGCTCTCCCCAAGCAATGAGGATCCCCCCCCCCCTCCCTTTCCCTTTGTCACATCCCAGTGCGTTGCAGGAAACCCCCAGAGCCCAATGCAGTGCGGCTCATGGAGAGCACAAGGGGGTGAAGGAGCTGGGAGCCCCCAACGCTCCGCTCTGCTCCCCCAGCGCAGGACAAGGCACTCCCTGTTCATCAAAGTAAACATTTGCAATGGAAGAAGCTGGTGCAGTGTGAGACCTGAACGCGTGGTTAAGGAGCACGGAGTTGTGTTTGAGGGCAGCGCGCAGCTTCGTTCCCTAGCGTTAATTCCTGTTGGGTGTTTGCTTCTCTGCTTTGCCTTCAGACAGATGGACAGAGCAGCTCTCGGCTTTCTGCTCGCTCAATGAACTGCCAGCATCCTCAGCTTTGTTGGAGGTCTGGCAGAACACCACCAGGGCCTCGTCAGGCACCAACCAGGCACGGACACAACCTGTAAGTGCACTTATACCACTTTGCTGCTGCAAAGAGCCACCTGCTGCCCACCGGCACCCGCTTCAAGCAGCCCAATTCAGAGCCACGGGACACAGCAGCACAGCACCCTGTGCTGGAACTGAGGCACTGGAAGGTTCAGCATTGCCTGCGAGGTGCTGAGACTCCGAATGCGACACCTGAGCGCGCTGCTGAGGTCAGTAAACATGAAGGAAAGCGGCTCCCCCCTGCAGACCCCCCCCTCTGCTCCCGCATGAAGACGGTGCTCGGTTTGAATCCGCTCTGAGCTCTTCTCACAGCTCTCAGCCTCCACCCTCAGCCCCACACCACAACCACAGAACACCTCCCACCATCCCTCCACACTTCTGTCCCTCCCCTCTGCTGCTGTGCTCGGACACAGTCGGGTTGGGGAGAGCTCCAAATCAGCAAGAACTGCTTCTGCCACGCCTGGGTTTGGCACCGCGGTGACGCAGAGATGCCAGCAGCTTTGGGCTGCGCCCTCAGCCTCCCCACCGAGCATCCTGCAGGTAAAGGAGCTTTGAAGCTCGTATTTCCTTTTTGCTGTTTCGTACAACAGATGATCGTGTGGAGCCCAAAGGCAACACCTCCCCACATCGCAGCCCCCCAGGGATGAAGGAGTTCTCGGGTACCTGGAGCTCCTCAACGCCTTCTGCAGCGTTTAATAACCAAAACCCTGACACCAACGACCCCCCCAGCACCGCAGCCAGCCCTGCTCCCCTCCACCACCACCTCAATACGTGGCACCAGAGCCCACATGGGAACCCCCCCTCATTCTCTCTCCCACACAAAACGCCCTCACCCCACTTCTCAGCTCACCACCACAGACCATTCTGATCCTGAAGCACCGCCTTCAAACATCACCGACCGCAGGCGCCGCCGCCAGCACTCAACCCGACCGACCCACGCTCCTTCGTGCGCCCACCTGCAGCCAGCAGTGGGGCTCCATCAGTGCAAACCAGCAAATCCCCTCCGCTGATACCTGGCAGACAAAGCAGACGCTCAGCAGCCCCGCATCGCTTCTGAACCACAAACACCCCGAGCTGCAGAGACCCCCAGGGGCCACCGCCATCACCGACGGCAGAGAAGCGCTCAGAATCAGTTCATCCAACAACAACGACAACGAAAAAGCTTTAAAAACAAAGCAAAAGCGTTTAATTTAGGTCAGATTAAACAAACTCAGCTCAACGCCATCTTTAAAAGGTTTCGCTACCCGAAACGCCGCTACCGCCCCAACACCCTCTGAGGACTAACCAGCCACAAAATAATCAGGAAACCCAACAGATTATACAATAAATTACGTCTCTAAGGGACTGCCAGCACAGGAGCTCTGCCACAAAGACCCAACGCAGCATCTCCCCTCTCTCATAGCCCAGCAGCTACGACAGACCAACAGCTCCTCTCAAGCGCATTGGAGCCGCACGAAGAGCTCGACTATTTGGGAGCTGCCCCGAGCCACAGATACTTAAACTAAATATTAAATAGAATAAATTACACATCTGAAAGCCTGCCATGACCTGACGGGCACTGCGTGGTGTCCCAGTGCCAAGGACAGCATTGACTTGGAAGGCAAAGTGGGGCAGGACAGCGTTCCCCCCCCCCGCACCCAAGGCAGGTCGGATGGGGCCCTGGGCAGCCTGGCACCGTGTGAAAGGTGGAGGCTGGCAGCCCTGCGTGCAGCAGGGGGTTGGAGCTTCACAATCCTTCCAACCCAAAGCATTCTATGATTCCCTGCACCCAGTGCCTCTGCTGTGGGACCCGAGGCCCATCCTCACTGCGGCAGAACCATTCATCACCAGGAAAACAGAAGGAACGATGCTCCAAACCTTGCACAAAGATTATTCTGTACGTGGTTTTACATGCAAACGGCCAGCAGCTGCGCGTGGGCTCCCAGAGCAGCTCTGAGATGCGAGGTGCCCTTTGGCAGCTCTCCCTGGCAGCCACGTGGCAGCGCCAGCGATGGGCACTGAAGTTAAACATTACTCCCCACCCAACCTTTAACGGGAACAAAAGTTCACAGCGAAGGAAGTTATAAATTACTCAGCCTTCGCCTTAAAAATAACAGCCAGCACCAAGAGATCGCGATAAAGATCTCCTGCGGAGAAAGTGGCCTTTAGCAGAGCTCCTCCGCAGCGAGCCGGGCGCTGAGCGCAGCGTGGGGCCGGGAGGGCAGCCCTGAGCCAGCACTGAGGACGCCTGGAAGGACTTGGTGTGAGCTCAGATCGCTCCGTGTACAAACAGCCATCTGAGCCGCGACCCAACACGCAGCCTTTCCACCTGCAGCCGCAGCAGCAAGGCCCCCCATGGAGAAAGCAGCCACCTTCTCCGTTCAAAAGCAGTTTCTGAGGCCCCTCGTCCCCAGCAAGCAGTTTTGTCGTTTTCTCACGCCGTCCCAACTAATTTCAGTTGCACTTTCGCATTAGGACCTACAATTTGGGCCAACGAGGAGAAACGAAATGAGACAGAAGGAAAGCAAACCTTCCAACTCAACAAGCAGTCGTTAAAAGACGGGGCTATCGATTCCCTGCACCCAAACACTGAGCCTGGCCAAGGAACTTCCCTTCTGTGCAGGCTGGCAGTGCTCAGCAGCCATCGCTTGGCCAGAGATGAGCTGTGGGGAAAGCACGGCACGCGTGCTCCAGGAATGAGCAGCTGCAGGTGTTGTGTTAGAGAAGGGATCTCAATTTCTTCATTGAAATACACACGTTTGGCCAAAAGAAAAAAAAAAGAGAGAAGAAAAAAAAGTCAATTTCTGGACGTGGGGTTTCCATTTTTGAAGTCTCCAATCCTCGCTCCGTACGTCTCGCACACAGCGTTCCTCCCACACCTCAGGGGGGGAAGTTTAGGAAGTGCAACAGCAGGACGGCTCCCGCCTGCTTTCAGTGTTCGTGCTGACAATTGATTTTGTCTTCAGAATGCTCCAAAACGTCGAGCATCTCCTCGATGATGGCCTGCAGCGCCCGGCCCAGCTGCTCCGCGCTGTACGGCTTCCCCAGCGGAGGCACATGAACAAAAGCCGACCTCCCGCAGCTCTGGTATAAGGAAGTGTAGTAAGTGAAGTCACACAGGTACCTGAAACATAAAAACAGAGCTGATTTAGCAACATGTGACAAATAAAGCGTGCAAACTGCAGGACACAGCGAGCCGTGTTATCGCTTGGCGTTGCATCAACATCCTGCAATAAAAAGCGCAATGCAAGTCAGGCTGAAGCAGCGGCACGCTCACAGCACCTAAACTAGGACAAAACACAAGGCTGCGTGCTTTCCCAGCACCAGTGTGTGACCACGGGACAGAGCAGTGCCAGCACTGAGTGTAGCTGAGCACACAGTGAGCAGGCACTGCAGGCACAGCACGCACTGAGAGACAGCAGGCACTGCAGGCACTGCAAGCACAGCAGGCACTGCAAGCACAGCAGGCACTGCTGGCACTGCACAGACTGCAGGCACTGCAGGCACTGAGAGACAGCAGGCACTGCAGGCACAGCAGGCACAGCAGGCACAGCAGGCACAGCAGGCATAGCAGGCATAGCAGACACAGCAGGCACAGCAGGCATAGCAGGCACAGCAGGCACAGCAGGCACTGCAGGCACTGCACAGACAGCAGGCACTGCACAGACAGCAGGCACTGCAGCAGGTACCTGCTTCCCGCAGATCACTTTGCCCCATACCTGCCAGCATCCTTAGAGATGGTGACGGTGACGTCCAGCCCCAGTGCTGAGACCCTCCTGCAAACCACGTCCATGTCAATGATGGAGTCGATGCACTCTGGGCCGCCTTCGACGCAGCACTGAGAGCCTGGGCAGAAACGGCAGTTGTCTAAGCCCTTATAACCCACATTATGGCCACACTTCTCCAGAGTGACAGTGGTAGCCATACCCGACACACCTACATGCACCACCAACTGCGAGAGAAAAGAAACACGTTACATCAACCAGCAGCCCGCAGTGCACTGAGCACCAGCAGAGCCTCCACCTGAGCCCCTGCACGGCCAGCACACAGCCAGCCACTGTAGCAACCGACGGCACGAAACCATTCTCGTTTTGTCCCCAGTCCTCAGCTCTAATTAATTACAGCACAGAGCGGAGCTGCCCTGGCAGCCCTGCGTGCTGAGCTCCCGTTAACTGCAGCACTGCACTTTGAGCCACAAAACGCTGCAAATCCAGGTGTTTGGAAAGAGCAAAGGATGCAGCAGAGGACGCAGCACCGAACGCAGCTGGCAGCACAGAGCTGCACGGTGCTCACTGCACACATGTCAGCTCCATCTCTTCTCCCTTCACTCACTCACTTGTGGACTGTGCTTTTTCCACAGTGCAGGGATGAGTCTCTGCACTGTCTGATATTCCACCGGGACTTCATAGACATGCAGATCCACGCCATCTCGCAGCCCGAGCTTCTCCAGCTCCTAGGAACACGTGGGAAGGAAGGAACAGAGCAGGGTGGTCAGGTACAGGTGGGGCAGCGCTGGGTGAGCAGTGTGAACATGCACTGCTGGGAGCACAGTGCAGAACACGCAGGACCTACACAGCTCCCCCCAAAGCCACGGCACAGCAGTGACAGCTCTCCTGCTGGTTTCATCTCACAGAAGAGTGGGGTCCCATGAAGGAGAGGCTGAAGGACAGAGCTGTGAGGGCCTCAGGGCAGCCCCCTGCCTGCGCTCACACGGTTTGTTCTGCTCAGGCAGCGCAGGGCTGAGCAGTCTGACTGCACTGAACTGATGGGAGCTACACCAGCAACTCCCACGCTAAAAAAAAATACATGAAAATAATAAGGAAAAGGGTTGGCTTCATTATTTTCAGCAGTGACTCCTATTCAGTTCTCGGAAGAAGCAGACGAAGCAGCAGTGAGAGCAGCCCCAGCTGCTACCTGCATGAGAGCAGCAGCCATCAGTCTCCCCTCCTGCTCCAAGGATTGGGCAGGCGAGCTGCAAAGGCTCCCTGCACTGAGTCCTGCATGACAACCAGTGATGCTAAGTGACATTTCACCACATCTTTGCACAAATCCACCTTCCAAACGCTGGCTGCTTTACCCAGCACCTTAACGAAGTCACTTGTTCACACATGAGAGCACTCACACACAAGGCAGCCTCTTTAGGAACAGCTCTGCAGCGTTACTTGTAGGAATTCATCACTGCTCCTCCACGGAGCTCCCGAATCCCAGCACTCTGCACTGCTCACAGCTCCCTCTCACAGCCCTCCACTCTCTAATAAAGATGTACTCTGGCCCCCAGACAACTCATTATCCACTGCCTTGTATACCTGACAAACACAGAAAAACGAACACGTCTGACCCATTCCCTGACCCCCGGACAATGGGCTTCTTTGTGAGCCCTTAATATCCCTATCAGGTCTGTCTAGACACCCTGACAGCCATTGTGCTGCTCCCTGACCTCTCCACTGAGCCCCGGCACAGCCAGACGCGCTCTGCTGGGATGGGATGGGGATGGTGGGATGGGGATGGGGATGGTGGGACAGGATGGTGGGACATGATGGTGAGATGGGGATGGTGATGGTGGGATGGGATGGTGGGATGGGGATGGTGGGACAGGATGGTGGTTCAGGACACACCTGGGCCATGCTGGCACCGCATCCCGCACCACTTCCTGCACAGCTGCCGAGAGCCTCCAACCAAACGTTACAGAGATCAAAGCGTGGCACAGCACAGGTGGGAGGCAGAGCGTTACTGCTGCGAGCTGTGAGGAGTTATCAGCCCCTCTGATCCATCTGGGATCTCTCTCCCGAGCACCCAGCTCATTTATTTAGCCCTTTTTATTTAACGCCCCTGAAGGTGAGGCATTCTCTGTGTTCACTGTGTGTAAAAAATAACGGAGCTTCAAAACTGAGCAGTGACACCAGGAGTTCACAGAATCGCACAGCTTCAGTGCAGGAAAAGCCACCACAGCTGTGCTCTGTGTCAGAGCCCAAACAACACCAGGAAAGAAAAGCAGGGAATCTTATCCTGGGGATGCGGGATAATAAAAGATGCAATAAAGCAGAACTGGCTCAGCCCCGGAGCTAGAAAGGATTTAGGAAGATTGTTTAATTGATTTTTCTTCTATTAAAATGCAGATCACACCGTCTGGGGCTCAGCAACTCAGACGCCTTTGTGTCCATGCTGCTCCATGAGGGCCCCGTCTGAGCCGCACAAAGCCCACCTCGGCCGGCTCAAAGCCGTGCTGTTCCTTTTTGTCTGGGCCCCTCGGGCTGAGACGGGGTGAGGGGAGGGGGATGTGGGCACACAGCGCTCCTGGCTGCAGGATGGACCGCAGGGAGGTGGGTCCTGCTGCTGCTTTCCCTTCCCAAAGCAGCCCTGAGCAATGCGAGCTGAAGACGCGCTCAGTTGGTTCGGCGTGGGGCTGCTCCTCGTCGCGCATCAACGTCAGCTTTGCTCCTGCAGGAACAGCACAGCACCCGCCTCTCATCCTGTCCCACACACACAGCGCCCTGCTGGGCATCTCTAGCAGAAAACCAGGAAACAAGAGCTGACGTGGCGTGAGGAAGAAGCAACCAAACCAACGGCCTGATGGCCGCCCTTCAGTAACACGCCGTCCTCCCCAGCCTTGGCTGAGCAACTCGGGTGCATTCAGCCCCAGAGGCTCTCAGAGCCAAAGGTTTCCTCTCCCCTCACCAGTCAGCGCGTTGGACATCTGGACATCGGCTGACTGTAATTGATTAGAGCTTGAGATTTAATTTAAAAGCATTCTGAAGAAGATATTAATCCCCGAGCTCTGAAGGGAAGAGAGACGTGTTGGGGAGAGAAGCAGATCCAGTTTCCCGGGCAGCTGTACTAAAAGGCACCGTGAATTCCCAACGGCTTTGTCATTAACCACCTCCAGGAGCAACAAATAAGGGAGAATCGGGAGAACGTGACAGTGCTGCCCAAGCTGATGCTTTACAGAACATCACAGAGCGCCCTCAGCCCTGTTTAGCAGGGCGTTCTGATCTGCTCAAGCAATGCCACTCCATGAGCACTTCAACCACGGCCCCACGTGCTGAGCCCCATTACAGCTGGGAGGGCTTAAAGGTCAACCTGCTCACCCAGACCCAGGCTGCAGCGGAGAGAGAAACGTACAAATTCCTTTCTGTTTATTTATTTTGAATTCCCTCTGCTAAGTGGTGGAGAAAGACTGCGGGCTCCGTGCACCGTTTAACTCCTCTGAAGCGCAGGGAGTCAGCCTGGGGGCTCCTTATCTGCCTCTGCTCTACGAACCCAATCTCACCATGTTCTACCAGCATGGGGATTGTAGAGGTGGACAAAACATCACCCAGCTGAGTGCCTGGACACGGGGCGAGCCGGCCTCAGTGGACAGAGCAGAATCAGGGCTGAAACGCGTGCAGGCAGGGGACGGTGCTGCTCCAAGGCCGAAGTTACAGCCTTACCTGCACTGCAATCCAGCTGGCGTTGACGGCGTGCTCTCCAAAGGGTCCAAACCCTGAAAGAGAAGAAAAGCCCCCGGTGAGCAGCTGAGCCCTGCAGCTTGGACTGCAGCTGCCCTCTGCACTTCTTGGATTTATGTGCTCTGAAAGAAAACCCACTGCTTGTAACACCCAGTCCCTACTGGAGGTGCATTTTCTCCTTGCTGACCAGGCTAGGAACACTTGTTAGCTACAGAGCAGTGGAGTGATGGCACAGAACGAGGATCGTGATTGGAGCTTCTAACCCTGACAGTAACAGCCCACAGCAGATGCTTCCACAAACAAGTCTGCCTCCAGTGCCCCTCTGCTCACACCTTCACCAACATCTCTGCTGCCTTAAGAGGAACCAACCAGAGCACTGCTGACCCTCCTACACTGAGCACCAAAGGTTATGACAGCACTATAAAAACACTTAACTCCCCTCATCTGCATTTCCTAATGAGTAACTCAGAGTTAACTAGTAATCCATAACATCTTTTCCTGAGCAAGCACACAAAGGTTAGGCATTTATCTGGGCGCAGGGTCAATATGCTCTAATTTAAGATGTCAGAGCTACCCCACGAGCCCAATGCAATCAGGAGGCACACATTTCATCTAAGCTGAAAGGACCGAGAGGGACCACAAATATTACATGACACACTAATGGAAACCTCCCGTGTGCTGCCAGCAGAAGGCGAGGGCTGAGGTTACGCCGTGCAGGATGGCGCCGGGGCTTTGCACAGCATGGGCTCAGCGGGCCGGCCATCTCAACCAAAGCCTCCAAGTTGAACCACAGTCAGTATCTCCCCAGAATAAATCTCCTGGAGGCTCCCACGAGATCCAAATGCAGACGTTGTTTCCCCACAGCGATGAGAGACACCGAACACAGCCTCTCGTTAGGACGGCTTCTCTACAAAGCACACCGGAGGGCTGCAGTTCTCCAGGTGCCCCCAGCGTAACCAAAACCTCTCGTTCTGAGCCCAGCTGAGCCGGCACAAAGCCCCTCTCACTCATCTCCGCACCGATTCCTTTCACGGCAGATGAGCAACTTTCTCTGCAGCACCAAACTGGCCGCAGCCATCCCATCCCACATCCACCACAGGGCCCTGCAGGCACACAGCACTGAGCCCTCCGTGCAGACCTGTACGGGATTATCTCCTTACGGAGTTCTAAAAGAGAAACGGCACAGGAATGAGGCTTGCCCTCAGCGTGACACGCACAGCACTGAATGGGAACTCAGCGTGACATCGGCCATGTGCTATCACGGGCAGATCCAGCGAAATAAGCTCTGAATTTTAGAAGCAGTTCCCCCCCGGTGCAGAAGACGGGAAACAAAAGTACTGCGGGGATCGGGGGGAGCTCTCGGCTGACGGGTTGTGTCTGCTCACCGCTCAGCGCAGCCCCCGGGCTGGGAACGCTGCGCTGTGACACGCGGGGACCGCGCTGGCCGTGGGGCCGCTGCTCTCGGGACACCGAAAGGGTTCGTGGCACGGGGATGGAGGCGGCACGGCGTCCCCAGGCACCAAACCCCCTCCGTTCTCCCGCAGTCCCCCGGACCTCCTCAGGGCGAACCGGCGCCGGTCCCCGCTGCAGCCCCTCGCAAAGGAGCGCGGCAGCAGCACCCCCCCCCCCCCCCCCAAGGCAGCCCGCAGCCCGCACCCCTCGGCAGCACCTCGTGCCCCGGGCAGCTCCTGCCAGCCCCTCCCCAGCCCCGCACCCCCAGCGGGACCCCAGGGCTCACCTCACACCCCCCCGATCTCCCCCGTGCCCCTCACCGCCCCCCTCCCCAATCCCGCAGCGCAGCCCCCAGCGCCTGCCACCGCCCCCCGCTTACATAAGGGAAGCGGAGCCCACCTGGCCGCCCCCTCCCCGCTCTCCCGCCCCGGTCCCGCCGCCCGTACCCGTCACCACCACCGCCCGCCGCGGTTTCTCCATCTCCGCTCCCACCCTGCCCGCGGCCGCACCGCACTGAGCGAGCGGCTCCGCACGGTCATAGAGCGCGCTCCGCCCCGACGCCCAGAGCGGCGCCGCGCGGCCATAGAGTGCGCGCCGCCCCGACGCCCAGAGCGGCCCCGCGCGGCCATAGAGTGCGCGCCGCCTCGCTGCCTAGAGCGGCTCCTGAGCGCCGCTTGCGCCGCCGGGAGAAAAGCGCGAGGCCGGGGGTAGCGGCCAACTAGGCCGCCTCGACTCTGGGTCCCCCCGAGCTCCTGGGGCGGCAGCGGAGGTGGAGCGGTCCGCAAGGGTCTGAGCCCAGAGCCGCCTCACGGGCTTATCGCGAAAGCGCGGGCTCGAGCTAGTTAAACCCGTACAGAACGCTACGGTGGTTTCACGCCCAGCTTTCCCGATCCTGCTGGGCTCGTGCTGGTGGAGTCCTGAGAGGAACGGAACGGAACGGAACAGAACAGAACAGAACAGAAAGGGCCAGCTGGGAGCGCCGCCGCTTCCCGCCCCGCTTTTCAATTTACGGCACTGTCGTGACGCTGCGGACCGGCAGCCCCGGCGATGCTTTACGGCAGAGGTCGGGTCCCGCGCGTTGATTGGCTCCGCGGGGGCCGCGCCGCGCTCTGATTGGCCCCGCGCGGGGCCGGGGGCGGTTTGAGCGGCAGTGCCGGGCGCGGCGGCGGCTCCGCGGTTCCGGCACGATGGTGAGTGCGGGTCTGGGCCGGGCGGCGGCGGGCGGCGGGCCTGGGAATTCCCGCCGCTCTGGGGAGTCTGTGTGGAAATACAGGCGGTCCCCGCGCCCCGGTTCCTGAGGCCTCTCTCTCTTTCCCCCGCAGCTGCCCCTGTCGTTGCTGAAGACGGCGCAGAACCACCCCATGGTGAGTCCCGGCCCTCCCGTCCCACTCCCGTTGCGGCCTCGGGCTCGGCGCTGTCCTGCCGGGCCCGGTGTCCACGTGGTGACCCCCGCTTCTTTCAGCTGGTGGAGCTGAAGAACGGAGAGACATACAACGGGCACCTGGTGAGCTGTGACAACTGGATGAACATCAACCTGCGGGAGGTCATCTGCACCTCACGGGTAAGGAGCGGCGCGGCTGCTCGGTGCTGGGACCCCCGTTGTGCCCAGAGACCCCCCGTGCTGGCAGCCCCTCACCTCCAGCCCTGCAGCTGAGTGGGGCTCGCAGAGATCCTCGCTCCTCTGTGTTGCTTTTGCCCCGAGTGTGAATGTAACGCAGCTATTTGTGAGCTGTAAGAAACAAATGAGCCCAATGGCGGTGCAGGGTGAGAGCGCTCGGTATGGAGGGCTGGTGACAGGTCCTGTTCTGGTGCCGAGCTGCATTCTCGGTGCCTGCTCCATGCAGTCCCATCAAGCACAGCGCTGGCTTTTGTCAGTGCCTGCCTCTCGCCCTCTAACTCCACTTCAAAAATAATCAGGGCCTCTTGTTTACCCGGGTTGTGCCTCGTCTGGTACTTTTGCCCATGGCCAAAGGTGCTCCAGAAGATTGGGATCTGTGCTTTGAGTTCTGACCTCAGCCAGAAGTGTCTGGTCTTGTCCCTGCCAGCCTGTGCCTGGCCACGTTCCCACTGCTGTCTGTGTCTGAGAACACCAGAGGTCTGTGGGAGAGGCTGTCAGGGAAACCCTTCTTCTCTGGAAAACCCTTCTGCAGCCTTTCGTGCCTGTTGGACCCACGGCAGGAAGGTATTGGCCAATACTGCTGCGGCACGGAGATGTTTGCACGTAAGCATGACCAAACAAATGTTTAAGAAGGACCTTAAGGGCAGGGAAGTGAGCCCTAAAAATGCGCAGATCCCCAAATTGGCAGGGCAGATAAATTCTGCGGGAAGGGGTGGCAGCGGCAAAGCCTTATTAGTGCTTGCAGGACGGGGGACGCCGGCCTTTAATACTGCTTCCTCAGAAAGCGGCTTTGTGCTGCTGGGGGCAGAGCGCTTCCTCAGCATTTATTCCCACCGAGCGCCCTGCAGTTCACTCCCAGCCCCGAATGCCCTCGCAGCGCTGCCGGAAGCCCTTCCTGGCGGCACGGTGGGGATCAGCCACTAGATGGCACGGAGCGGCGGCGGCTGTTTACCCCGGAGCTGGAACGAGGAAGCCGGGGACCTGGCTCCATCCCTTCCTGCTTCGGGAGCCAAAGTGCAGCCGGGCGGATCCAGGCAGGGTGGGGTTTTGCTGGGTGCCTGTTTGAAGAAGGCTGCTCCTCCGCCTTGTCTCGCGCACACGGGACTTGCCTGTGCGTGCGGCGTTGCCCCAAATAACTCCAGAGCGGAGGGGGGAACGACTTGATCCTGGAGAGGTGAAACGAGGCATTCTGGTTTCACCCACTCCCCTGGGACAATCGTGGACGCTTTGTCCACGTGTGATGGTTGTGAGGAGCCCGTGTGCAGCCCAGCCCTGCAGCAGAGCAGAGCAGAGCGCACGAGGCTCCGTCCCTCCTCCCGTTTACATCAGTTGTTATTCAGCTTTCACATGCAGTTCCTATTCCCACAGCCACAGGAGCTGAAGCCCAGATGGGCCGTGGCCTAGCAAAGCCCTGAAACTGCCTTAAACAAAACACAGAGGCAGCTGCTCCGTCACTTGGCACCCGAAGGTTTATTTTAACGCGATCTTTAAGCTCTTGTTTTCCACAGCCGCGGTTCCTGCGCGCTGCTGGGCACAGCCCACACCCAGCTGGACACTGCCCTGCTGCTCAATCCACAGCGCAGAGGAGTGCAGTCGTTAGGTGACTCTGGCTGGGGTTTCTGCAGGGGAAATGTGTGCCTTTGCCTCTGCTGGAACAGCCCTGCGTTGCCGGAGTTCGGTGCTCGCAGCAGCTGTGTGTAACTCGCCACGTTTCCCTCTCCAGTCCCACTTTCGATTCTCTTCTTGTATGAGAGGCAAAGGGAAGGTGCTGTTTCCTCAGCCTCTTCTTCCTTCGTTTTCTGTGAGAGTCAAAGGCAGTTGTTGGCAGTTGGACGGGCTGAAACGTCAGTGGCTCGTGGCTGAACGCCCCCCACCCCCAGCAGGCTGCAGGGCTGCGTGTTTTGGAGAGAAAAGAGGAATTTCACAGCTAATTATGGCTTACACTTCCAGAAAAAGATTGTTGTATCTGTCACACTCTCCAGAAGTGATGGAAATATTCAAGTGCCAAAAAAGCAACGTAAGAGCACGTGGCCCTTGTTCTCAGCCTAACGCGCTGCTCCCCAACAGGACGGCGACAAGTTCTGGAGGATGCCGGAGTGTTACATCCGTGGCAGCACAATCAAATACCTGCGGATCCCCGATGAAATCATCGACATGGTGAAAGAGGAGGTGGTCTCCAAGGGCAGAGGCCGTGGGGGGATGCAACAGCAGAAACAACAGAAAGGCCGTGGCGTTGGAGGTGCTGGACGAGGTAACGACAATCCTTTCTGCTTTTCAGTTCAGAGAGGGGTGGCTGGAATTCCTGCCTTTGAATTTCACTTGTTGTGCAAGGAAGGGCCGATGCTTCTCAGCTTTGAACCCGGAGCTGTTGATCTGTGAGAAGCTGGAGCTGCTGCTGGGCAAGATCTAGTTGAGTGAGTGTGTTGTCTGGCTTGAAAGGCAGCCTCTGCCAAAGAGCAGTGAGGAGACGTGCCAGGGATGAGCCTCGTTCCTGGGCTGGGCAGGAGCTTAAGAGACTCCGTCTGTTTGTGCCCCTCCTGGCTGCTTGCAGAACGCGGCCCCACCAAACTCCTGGTGTCTGTTAGCTTTGCAAACCTGGGAGGGAAACAAGTGGCTGTTCTGTCTGAAATCAGACTTGAATTTGGCCACCCTCGTGGTAGGAAAAGGCCACCTTTACTGCCATTAGGATGGGGCTCCTCATCCTGCGGTCTGCCGATTTCTTCTTTATTTTTAACCTGTTCTCTGAAGGTTTGTTTTCTTCCTGCTCCAAATTAATATTTCTTGTTTCTGATAAAAGGTTGCCACTTACACAGAAATAGGCTGACCCAGCTCTCCCTTCCTCGTTCCATTTCTCGTGGCTGGGTTATCTTGGAGCACTTCAGCCTGGGGAAATATTTGCCCTTTCTGAGCACAGTGCTGCTGGATGCCCAAGCAGCATTTCTCCCTTGTGCTCACACCTCCTGCCACGTCTTTGCAATTCACTTTGTGGTTGCTGTGCTCAGCCCCAGGGATCTTCAGTGTGGGCTGAGCCTGCAGTGGGAGCTTAAATGCCAGACAAACTTCCTTGCTACAACAAAACTGAGTTCAACTCGGGGGATCTGGGTTTTAAAAGGATCCACGGAGCGCCTTTAACGAGCAGCAGGATGTGAGGAGCCCCAGGAGAAGGCTGGGGGGGCCTGGTGTCACACTGGGACACACCAAGAGCTGCATCCACGTCTCCCAGGGACTGCAGGAGGAAAATCCCTCTGCCATGGCTGCTCCCTGTGCTGCCTCTGAGCACACAGGAGTGACCTTTACCATTCTGAAGGCGCCTTTTATTTTTCCTTCTTCCCTTTTTGGAGTCCAAAGCATTTGGCACAGCGGCTTTTTGGATACGGTTATTTGGACAAATGTTTTAGCTGAAGTATTTTCTGTGCTGTGGAAATATCCACCTTGTGGAGAGAGTTCTGTTTGAGGTGGAGTTCCCTGCTGTTTTGATGTGCAGCTTAAATTCGCTGATGGAATATTTTAAAGGGAAGCTTTGGCATTTGCTAATTAGCTAAGAGGTTTGGCTCTCATTACCGAGACATTAAGGGGGAAGAAAAAAAGGGCAGGACAATTTTGTTGAGAGGCCAGCAGGCAGAAGTAAAGCTATAATTGTGCAGGCAGTTGAAAGGATTATTGTTCCTGACACTGGTAATCCTTCGTCTTCTTGGCTTGCCCAGCGCAGAAGCAGTGCAGTCTCTGCTCAGCCTCTCAGGCTGCTCGCAGGGCTCCAGCTGCTTCCCAGGGGCTGCAGGGTTAGGAGCAGCCTCCTTCCACTCTGCTTTGGATGCATCTCAGCTGAACGAGCAGAGCTGCAGAGCGAGCCGCTCCGGTTGCCTGCAGCGGATCGGAGTGGGAGGCAGGGCTGCAGGCGTCAGCAGCTCTCAGGGCAGAGAGGAGCA